GGCGACACGAAAAAAAGAGATTAGAGCTTTAAGAAACTGTTGGGCGCCAAAAGGTGGTCAATTTCGTCCCTAGGAAAAACAAAATTCCGTCACGCAGGAGTTGTGCGCGTTTACAAGATCTTTCCGACGACACCAATTTGAAAACAATCGGACAAAAAGTGTAGAAGATAAGAAAAAATTGAAAAATCACCACGTTTGTAAACTATATGCCATATAACCATATATAACCTACGATAATGCACAAATTTTTGAGAGCTGGTAACCCCGCAATGTTTAGGAGGAGAAAGCTGTCTGCGCCATCTGGAGAGCAACAACGTTGGTTACCATCGGCGTCTTGTTTTTAATGGCAGCCATGAAGGCATCGCTCCGTAAATGTTTGTTGTTATTTTGTGTTATTTAATGCAGATAGTAATCTTTGCATTTCTTAATAATTTATTTGTATTTTGTATTGGACATTTTAATATTTTTGTATAATTTTCCATTTTTGTGTTTGAAATTGACTTTACTTAACCTCAATGTAGAATCACGTATTTGATACCGTTAATCTTTTGTTTGAAATCGTTCACGTTTTTGGTGTAAAGTTTGCTTAATTGTCACATCCGGTATATTAAAACCTGTTTCGTTCTGCATTCCTTTGACCTTTGAAATAAACATTTTTTTGAGTAAATTTTAATTATCATTACAGCGCGTGAACCATACAAAGTACGCCGTTTTGCGGTTTTCCGCGCCGGCTGCGGTAAACTTGAGAGTCAAATAAAAACTGCAAGTTTAAATGTCCTGAAATTTTAGTATGTCATAAATTGAATCTTTCTCAATATGCATACAAATTTTTACTTTCAAAATTTAATTTTTGTAAACGCTAGAGCCGTAACAGTAGTTTTTCTTCGAAACTGATGATCGCACAAGCGTTTAATATACATTATTGTCTTCGGCGTAATGCCAGCACTTCTCTTGCAGTATGCAACCTCCCTAATCGAAAAATAGAAATCCAGCCCTTGCCGTTTAGGAGGCAATTGTACGTGAAAACTCGTTCAGGTGTAAATCCCCTGCTACTGGACTAATTTCTTTGTAAAATTTGTATGTCAACATTTTTATTACTATACAATTGATGCCGTTGTATAGTCTATAGTAGTCTACAATTATCTTTTACGTAAATGTATAATTGATTGACATAAAAGAGAATCACATATACGTTAACTAGAGATAGCTATTAACCAAGGATACTATATATAT